AGGATGGCTGGTGCTGACCGCATGGTGGAGCAAGGGCTATCTCAGTTATCCATTGCTGTCTAAAAGCATCCCAGGACTTCATCTTGAACATCACCCTTGCAGCTTGGTCATCCTGTGTTGGACTAGGGCTGTGTGGTCTAAAATGGCCTCACTCTCACAGGTGCTGCCTGCCCTTGGCCGGGCCATGAACCTAACCTAACATATTAGCTTGGCTTCCGCACATGGTGCTGCATTTGAGAGAGTGAAGACAGCAGCTGTGAGATCTTTTGAACACAGATACTTTTCTTCAGAAGGCACAAGATATCCCTTCTACAGCGCTTTTTGGACAAAGTTAGTCACAAGGGCAGCCCATATTCAGGAGGTCGGGAAAATAACCTCACCTCTTGATAAGAAGAGTTACAAAGCATCTGTGATCATTTTTAAATTTTCTACAGACAGAGGCTATGAATGAGATATGCTGGGGGCCAGATGAGGGAGGTCGTCAGGGGACACTTAGAATCTTTCAGTTGTCGAGATCTGAGAGTGACCAGCATCCATCATCTTTCTTGATCAAGATCTGAAACAGTCTAGAAATAAGGTAAAAGTTTAAGACTCATGGAAGTCCCATTCTTCCTTTATCTCTCAGGATGTAGGTGATATTTGCGGACAGGTGGAGACTCTAAATGAAGAACTACAGCGTTAGGCTTGATCACCACTCAATCATCAATCAGGCTCTTTGCTTACTAATGAAAAGTGTGGAACAAATTGCTTCTGTTCCTTCTCTACCTGATACCTCAATGAAACCATGCTTGCCTAGTTTTTAGTCCAGCCCATAGCAAGGGATGAATGAGTGTTCAATAGATTTTGCAAGTTCATTGACACAGGCAAGAGGGGTAGAAAAAAGTAGCACATCCAGTTTTCTTCTTCCTCCTTCCTCTTATGAAAAGACCCTAATACTCTTTCTATCACAACCTTCTCTCTCTTTGCTTGCACTCTTTTTGTTACTTCTCTGCAAAGATTTCTTCGCATAAGAATAAAGTAGACAAGTAGTCCTTAGCATTTATTATCTCTGTGAAATTGCTGGTTAGCTTAAATAGCAATGGCCAACAAATGTCTTGTTTTTCTTTTATGAAGACAGAAACTATGAGAATTAGTACTTGGTGTCTGCTAGGTGACCATTTTTAAGGTGACAGGAGTCCCAGTCTAGGATGAAGTATTTCCTGGCAGGAAAACACCATTACAACACACATAGGCTCACCAGTGAGGGCTCTCACACAGCCAAACAACTCATTATGTCTTTAACACTCTGCATAGGATTGTGGATAATCCACAAATTCTACAATTTATTAGATGTCACCACTCATAGAGAAAGGATGGCCATTACTTTTGACATTTTTATGGAACTAGTTAATGTGGAGTATTAAAAACATTATTGGGGATCTAAATCTAGGCAATTGACTTCTACTCAGTAGCTAGAGATTTGTAGTTGGCTGCCCCCAATTCTAGAGGGAATTTGCTCAGTAAGGAAAAAGTGTTACATGGTTGAATGTGAAGGAAGCAGAATAGTAGAAATGGCCTCTGCCCTTATGGAACATTGACCTGTTGAACAGCTCTGGGGAATAAGGAAGTGCTGTTACTCAATGAAGAAGGTGTGGAATGGAGAGAGAGTGCAGACCAAGACAACAAGAGAGTGAGAGTCTGGGGAGTCCTTGGGCTCTCTTGGACCCAGTTTCTGGGGACAGGTATCTTGATTAATGTCCTCTGACTGCTTCCTACCACAAGGATAGATTATCTTGGAATACACAGAGCATGGGATGCATGGGACACTTTTACACGATCTTATCTGATTTTCACAGTCTCACACATTTGGCCTTATTTCTATCTCCATTTTACATATGGAGAAACCAAGCCTCGGAATGTGTAAGTGACTCACCCCTGCCACATGCCTGACACTGAACAAAGCCAGAGTTACAATCAGACTCTGCTTTTCGCTCTATTAGCACAACTCTTGGGATCAACTCTTTCCTTCCCACATGGGTGATAGAGAATACAGATCTTATGTTTCATTTATATTCTCTGGAGAGCTTTTGTACCTTCCAGGGCTTGCTGTGGGAACTCAATGATGTCTTGAATGGGAAGTCTTACTGCCTTGGGATTCAAGGACAACTTTGTCTTACTTCCTTACTCCTAGCTCCATAAATCTTTGGTGTCCCCATCTAAACCTTAGGAAGTCTCTCTTATGAAGGACACTTTCAATGAGGGTGTGACAGGCTCACCAAAAACACTAGACAACTGGCTGCAGAGTCCTTGCTTTGACCACTGTGTTCATTACCATATGTTTCTATTCAATCATGTAATCTCTTTGAGCCCATTTCTCAGCTCTGACGCAGGGTACCCTGCTTATCTCAGGTAAGTAAGATGAGATCTGACTATAATCAGCCTCTTAGCAAAGTACATGGAACTTAGTGGGTACTAGTTACACAGTACCTAGTGTGATTGTTGCTGGTACCATTTGGCTCTGGCTTGCAACTTCTACACAAACAACACTGGCTGGGAATTTCACAGAATAATGACTCCTACTGTTGTCTTCCTATACTCCCTCTTTACAGACCATTTCTACTTTGATGCCCACTTGATCATGCTAAGTCAATGGCTGGGTCAGCAGACCTTTCCCTTCTTTCTTCACCATCTTTCTTCATCCCTCATGACCATATCCTTTTCGCGTTTTTCCACTGGCTAAACAGCACTTACACATGTTTGACATATAACTTACCATGCGAACTTTAATGTTCTGGAGACTGAGAGGCAGATACAGATTTTGAGACCTTTGAGGGTAAGCCAGATTTTGATCTCCCTAACCACAGTGCCTTGTTAGGACTTAGACTTCATAAGTTTGCTCCCTTAGGATTTCCTTTTGATTCTGCATCAGAAGCTTGTGCCTTTTTAATCCAAAAGGTGCTTCTCAGAAAACAAAACCTCACAGAACAAGACTTCTAGACATTCCTTTGCTCAGCCTTATAACACTGAGCCCTTGAATTTTTTGCTCAAAAGTGTGTTGTCCTTTAAAGCCAGTGCTGGGTGCCCCACTGCATTCTTCCTGCTTGGTCCAATACAGAAATATGCTCATGCTGTTTGGTAAGTGGCTGCTGGGTTGAGCTTCCCATGCCTACATCACTGCCCTGGGTATGTTGACTATGCCTATGGCATCTTTGGACATCCTGCTATCAGCAGCTGAAGAAGTGACATCCAGCCTAGCACAGTGACTACAGCTTTGCTGTTGACCTTCTCAGGGTCTTAGGAGGCTCTGGCTTTTTACCTCACCAGGGGTTCTTCAAGGCCTGGAGCACCAAGTGGGCAGCAGTAGGTAGAGTTGTGTTGCCTTCTTCCCTCTAATATGCTGACAAGTGAGCAGGGATTCTCACACACCATCTTTCTTCTCCATGTGACACTGATCGAGAAGGTGAATAGATATCAGCAGGCAAAATAGTCCTGTTGTCACCCTGATCAAAAGTCCTCATCCTAATATTTTAGACTTCATCCTTCAGTTCTAGTGTTGTCATTAGCTTGCTATGACATCTTCTGCTTATCCTTTAATGCTCTTTAAATCACAGCCTCCCTAATATCTGGCTTAGCGCTTAGAGTTGTTATGAGGATTGTAAGACAAGATGCATCAAGGTGGTGTGCCTGCAGATATTGCACGCGTATAAGATGTCAATGTCACTGCTATACTTGTTACTGCTCATTATAGCATCATGACCTGCAGATGCGTTTCCATGCTGGACTCCTACACTGATGTGTATCTCCTAGTGTTGTATAGGGTGCTAGTGCAGAGCCAGAAATTAGGGGAAATCCCAGGCAAAGACGAAAAGCTACATATATTTAAACTCGGCCTGCTATTATTTAACCTCTCAGAAGTTCTGTTTCTTTATTTTTTGTTTTTATTGTTTATGTTTTAAAATTCAATGACCAGCATTTAAAAGCCAAGTGATTTTTAACAACATAATACAGATTTTTGGCATTTCTTATAAACATTTGCCTGTGGTCCGAATAAATCACACAAAGCTAAAGGAGGCTTAAGAGGAGACGGAGCTCTACTCTGAGCATCTTTATTTATTAGGCTGCTTCTTATTGTCTGGATTGTGTGGTATCTTTTCAACTACATAAAAAGATCATATCTCCTACTATTTTATTTTGCCATATTTCATTTTTTCTTATTTCATTCTTTCAACTGCAGAGTTCATTATAAAGTGGTGTAAAAAATATTAGCCAACTCGTTCTCTTTCTCCTTCTGTCTGAACTTGTCCCCTAGGAAGAGACTTTTAACCTCTCTGGAAACCAGCCTACCAGGTCTGTAAAACTAGCAATAGTAAAGAGAGAACATTTGCTTCCCTTATATTACTGCAACTGGTACTTACAGAGCACCTGCTTGTGTGTGACCTCGTTTGATCTGCAGATAGGGCAGATGGGGGCACTGCCTTCAAACTAGATAATGCAAATATCCAACATTTTACCCCAAATTGAGCTGGACAGAGGGAAGGAGAGTTGAGCAAAAGTAGGACACAGAGCTGGGGCCAGGACCAGGTTTTTTGCTTCTGTCTAGAGCCCTGGAAATAGAGACAGAGCTGGAAATTCTTCACTTGACATAAGCAGAAACTGAAATCTCCAGAAGGGCAGTTTCTGCTTCAGCTCTTTCTGACAACTGAAAGAAATAGGTTTAGAATATGGAATTTCTACAACTTAGCCAAGAATTCTTTTCTGACTCAAATTTTCCCCAGATGCCTGGTGATATTTTTATATAAGAAAATGTGAATAAAAGAGAGCTAAATCTAGTGAATTTTCATGACTATGGCCATCAGACTGTCGCAGTGCATTTTAATGATGCATTGATTAATGTGCAGCAATTTTTCTGTTACTGAAATGTTTTTTCTGAAAGCGAATCAATAAGTATTTGTATATTCTGACTTTCTACCTTGCGTTGTCCTTGCTTTGTCCCCTAAACCTCTGTATATCTTTTTCTCCAGGAATTTTCTCAGCTCTCCTGCCCAATTTCACCTCTGCAGTGATTTCTTACCTGACACGTCAAGTTGGACAAACCACTCATTGCTGACACACCGGTTTTCCAAGGGTGAACTCTCTTGCTGGCGTGTAATAGCCAACCCTTGTTTGCTTGGGGGTTGAGATTTACTCACCGACCCCATTCCCAATGCACTGATTTTGAATCTTGTAAATTTCCAGTCTCTAGTTTCAGGGTTTGTTGATGTAACTGTGTGAGTCATCTGCAAGGTCCGGGGGAGACAGACTGGGATGGGTTTGGAATTTAAACGTTACCAAGCCTCAACGAGCCACTCGTTCCCTGAGCAGCTCTGCAGCGGTGGGCAGTGTTCCAGGCAGAGGGGACACAGAGGATGGAGCAGAGCCCTTGAAGCTGACATGGTCGAGGGGAAGACATACAACAAAGAAGCCAGACAGCTGTCACACTGTGACGAGCATGATTCAGATGTGACGGGTTGTCCTCCTTTCCTGCTCTCACTGGCTCATCCATTCTTCCAGTTGTCCCTCACAGCACTGTGATTGTTTGTTGTGTCTTTGTCTCCTCCATCTGAATTCAAATTTATGAGGAAAAGGCACACTGTCATTTTACTTCTAAATTCCCAATTCCTATATGGTGTCAGCTATAGTGAATGTGCTCAGTAAAACCTTTTGACACTGAATATTTCATTCTTGGATTTATCATATTTTTCCCTACTGTTGTTTCCTTTATTCCTGATTTCTTAATGTACCATTAAAAAATGTGTGTATTAATGGCAAGGATATGTGGTAGTGGGAGGAAGTGGAGGGTAGAAGGACAGATGGACATGATCAATGCACAATATATGCACATATGGAAGTATCACAGTAAATCCTATGAATCGTACAATTAATATGTGCTAATAATAATGAGAAACAAAATGGATTTATTTTTATAGGTCTTTCTGATATAGGTGAGTTTGCATAAGCATGAAACATATAAAATATATAAAGGATTTTGAATGGAAAAATGAGTAAAATAGTAAATATATAGGCTAACGTTAGACAAAACTTGAGTCCAAACACAAACTGTCTTGGTTACTCATCACTAGGACACAATACCCTACACATGCAACTTAAAGGAGGAGAGATTTATTTTGGCTCATGGTTTTAGAGGTTTCAGTCCATGGTTAGCTGGCTCCAAGGCAGGGCAGCCTGGCCAAGCAGAGCTGTTCATGGCCTGGCTGCCTGGAAGCAGAGAGAAGAAGGGAGAAGCTGGGAAGGGAAATATAGAACACTGATGATCCACCTCCTCCCACCAGCACCACCTCCTAACAGCAAGTCCTCTGTAAGGGCATCCTGATCTGGTCACCTTTCAAAAGCCCTGCCTATGAGCAGAAGCTTTACAACACCTATTGGTATTATGATGTCAGGAACGGAGCTTATCTGAAGAATTGAGCCAATGATCTACATCATATCCTGAAAGAAGCCAATGGTGTTATGTGTATAATGAACTCTACACATAACAATGGTAGCTCACTTCTTTAAAGACTTGCTTTGTAGCAGTGTATCATGTTTATTAAAGACTGAGGCAGAGCGTGATGTAATATTCCAATGTTTTCAATTATCACTCTTGACATATAGGGCCACAAAGTAGCTACTCAATAAAAATTAGCTGCTGTAAGTACAAAATGTATTACTTTTGCTGCATTGTCTCATTTGCAATATTGAGCAACCTATACAAAAACATTTTATGAGAAACTGAAGTATACTTCTGCCTAAAACATTATGACTTCAAATTAGGAAGAATGTGTGTCCTTGTTTGCCGGCCACGGGCCCTGTTTGGTCTGATTGTTCTAGGGTAAGAGCACCCTCTCCCCTTTTATAAAATGTCCTGATGTATAAGGTTACCCTGTCCTATCAGGTTCACTCTCAAAGTCAGGTATCCACAGAGGCCAAAAGGAGGAAAGAGGAAGAAAGGGAAACACAAAGCAGGTTCATTCTGTAAACATATCTTCCTGCTCACAAACATGTCCTCAATAGAGGGTTTGATTTATGTGTTCTGATTCATGGCAATGGGAGGCGGAGAAGATTTGTCACCTTGGATTTTGAGAGTCTAATTATTTACATTCTAAAACCATGTCTTCACCTCCGAGGGAAAGTATGCAAGGTATCAGGTTAATGGGTGGACTACAAAAATCAATGGCAGGATCAGGATGGGAGCCATCTAATCTCATTTCTGCAGCCCAAGATGCCAGCACATCCGTCTTTCTCAAGAGTATGCACACAGCTCTATTAGGTGCTGGGCTTGCTATAATTCTGCTGTAATTGCAATAGCATTATAAATTATTGCCAGAACACTGGAGTGACTGCACTAGAGCTTTGGTTCATGGCTCTGTGTTTCCTATATGTGCAGCCATTTATTTTTGGAGATGGTACAGGGAGCTGCACACATAAATATGCCCACATCCTCATGTCACATGCTCAGCCTGCTGCCTGCTTCTGTGATCAGCTTTGAAAGATCTTGCAACAAACTGAGCAAAGGGAGTCCTGTGTTCTATATTTAGCTTTCCACTAACTAGCTACATAACCTTGTGAAGGTCACATTCTCTCCCTGGACTTCATGGTGTGTAAAATAAGTACATAGAATTACATCACAGATTTCCATATTTTACCCATTTTCTCACCTCCTCATTTTTTGGGGCTATTTTGCCTATTACATGCACAATAGAATTTTAAAAAAAATGTTTGCCTCTGCATAATGCAAAATCATTGTAATCACAGTGTTATTCAAATAACATGCCAGTCGGCAGGAAGTAGTATCCTATGGTGTTGACAGGTTGGGTGATAGATGAAGACAGAAAGCACAAGTGTTGTCTTTTTATTAGATGCAGGTGCAATCTTTTCTTTGAGTTCTAAAACTGCTGATCAAGTTCCCTGTCACTTTTAGGAGGTTTGGTGCCCATAGCTAAAGCCAAGAAAAGGCCTCTGATTGGCTCTCCTCACTCCATGCTTAGAGGCTCTGACAAGCTCCCAGCTCCACTACAAACCCCACGCTCTTCACCTTGCATGGCTGACCCTGAACCCTTAGGCATTCTTGGGGTTCAGCCTCCATTTCTGTGGTCCAATCTGGAAGCATAATGGTCTTGTGAATCTGTGCTTCAGGCAAATGATGTCCACACTACATCACTTCCTCTCAGTCTGAGGTATCCATGCCCTGCCATCTCTTCCCAGTCCTCGATTATTATTTTCTGATTAGGAAGTCTCCAGTTATACAACAAATCAGAAAACAAAAGATACTTGAAAATACCCCTCCCAATCTTTTATGCAATACTTTGGAAGTCCTTCTCCCCTGGCTCTGAGAAAAGGTAGCATACCACCTCGTCGTAATTATTGTGCATTCTATGGCCAAGCTCTTTCTAGTCCTGACTCCCTTTGGGTCCACAACCAGAGGTAGGAGGGAGGAGAGGGGCAGGATTCACAGGGACTGGCCCTGTAATCTTCTAGCCCTGTATGAACATCTGGCAAAGTTGCAGGCCCCAATTCTTTGTGGTTATATTGATAAAAGGAGGGTCAGCTCTTTTGGCTTCAGCTTTAACTGGTAGCAACCTTTGAATAGCACTGCAAGTGATTCTTTTAAAATAGAATAGAAATCAGATCATATCATTACTTGGCTTAAAAGTCGCTTACGTCTTCTCATCTCACTGGCAGTTGAAGTCCTTAAGATTATATTCAAAGCCCTAATTAAGCCAGCTCCTATTACCTCTCTGTGCTTCCTCTTTCACCTCTATCTCTGCTCTCTGGAATTGCTGGGTTCCATATGCTTTCTCAAAATCCACGAGTTTTCTAGATTAGGGCGTCTCATGCCTACCACTCCTGTGTGGAATACTTGCATGCCTCCCTCCCTCACATCCCCAAGTCTCTACTTGTGTCCCTGAGACCCATTCCTGGACTACCCTACCCGAAGCAGCGATTCCTCTAAGCCTGGATGTCCTCTGTTGCCTTACTGGGTAATCCTGCGGATGTTTTTCCATTATTATCATTTCATATGGAATGTATCTTGCTTGTTGCCTATCTTTCTTCTTTAGAAAGAAAGCTCATAAGGGCAGAGGTTTTAGGCTGTTTTCCTTTGTATTTCATAAACACTACCTAGAACAGTGCCTGACATATAATAGATATTTAGTAAGTATTGCCTAACATATTTGATTACATGAATAATTTAATCAAGCCTATCACTTTTCCTTCCTTCCTATTGTGCCTCTATGTATCTTATTCTCTTCTGTTTGCTTACATATGCCATAATTCTTCTTATTAAATTGTTTAAAATTTATGTAAAATGCCATCTAGTGACAAATCTCTCCTCAAGGCTTATGACTCTTATCATAGTTTCTTTATGTATAAACAAATATATAGAGAGACTCTTTTACTTTCTGGTGCTTCATTTTTCTGCTATAAGTTTCTTTCCTTCTCCCCTCTTCCCTTCCCTTTCTGTGTCAATCTTTCTTTCTTCCATCCCTCCATTCCTTCCTCACTTCCTTCATTTTTTCCTTTTCCTTCTACTATATGTTTCTCTTCCATTTCCTTCACTTCTTTGTTGCTTTTATTATTTTCATCCTTTAAGATTCTTCTTCTTATATTTTCTTTTGTATCCATTTCCCTGCTTTCCTTCAAATGCCTCCCTCCCCAGGTAAGATGGCTTTGCTTAGCTATGTTGGCTTATTTTTAACTTTCTTCTGCTGTCTAGTTATATCTTTCCTGAAGTGTTACATTTCTATTTGTGGTAATGACTTTATTAATACATTTTGATTCCCGGCATATTTATGACTTACTTCTGATTAGCAGTCCTCTCATGGTACTTTCACTTCTCTTTCACTTGTGTGTTAATGGTATTTTTGAATTATCTTCTTGTTCCTGTTTTATTACTCATTTCTTAAAAATGTACCTTTCATCAGGTCAGCTTTATGGAGGAACTCTTATGAGTGAGAGAAGGGTCCGAAAGCCTTTATACCTCTGTCTCTCTGTTGTCAGCATGATCTCTGCAAGTGTGTCTGATTGGTGTGACTCCTCGTAGGTTGAGCCATCTCTGCCCCTCTGTCCAGCTTGCTCCATCAGTTCTTCTGCTCATTGCAAAGGAGGGAGACAGCTTTTGTACTTTAGGTCAAGAACTCTGATTCGGGAAGTGCACCTTTGCTCATGCTGCCTGAGATCGCTGCTGCTGGATCCTCTGGTCCACTGCTTCCCAACTCTTCCTCTGTTTGGCTTCTGCCAACCTCAGTTTCTGGAAGCTTTTATGTGTATTTTGGATGTGACTGTTTATACCTCTATCCTAGTTTTACTCAAAGAGGAAGTTAGAACTTTGCAAAATTTAAAAATTTCTTCTTGATGCTTTTAAAATATGGTTTCTCTGAAGAGAAGTAGAAAATTCTGACGATCTCATTATGTTCACAGGAAACATAGTTGCTCCTTATGTTTGACTATTTTAATTCTCATTAGATTTCTCTAGGGAGCAGATTGGGCAACTTTCCTAATTTTTAATGTATTAACCTTTGAGAAGTATAAATATGTGAGGCCTTCATGCCAGGCCTGTAGATAGATGTTTGCTGAGTCACCACTCTCTTTTACCCGGGCTCCTGTAAAAGATCTGCCTAGGAACAGAAGAGTGCAGATTACGAAAATAAAATTACATCCAAAAAGAATTGATCTTGCTATTGAGAGAAGTATGGGATATAACTCTTGCTTTATAGAAGATAATGCTTGTTTCTGGTCATATAATGTTACATCAGAGCAGAAAAAGTCATGGTGCATATTCCTAATATATCACTTGAAAATCTACTGAGCTAGGAGCTTCAAACCAACTTCATCCATGGCTTCAAAACCAGAGTGCTGAACCCAGAGTGGATCATAA